GGCGAGCCCGGCCAGGGCCCCGCTCTCCCCGACCTGCCGGAGCGCCGCGGGGAGGACGGCGAGCCCAGTCACAGCCCCGCTCTCGGGTTGGAGTGCCCCGCTGTGCCGCCCCCCTCCAGGCGCCGCCCCAAGCACATGCTTGGTGGGCTGGTGCCTGGAGCCGGCCCTGTGAGCACCCATAACAAATGCAAAGCCCCATTCCAAGCTCTCCTGACACGCCAGGCAGCCTCTGAGGAGAAGCTGAATCTGGCGCAGGTAGGGATATCAATGGGGAGATTTCCCAACGGGCAAAATTCAGCTCCGTGCCGAAGCCCAGCACAAGGCCTTAGCTGCCATTTATGCAAAGCAGCTGTCACAGAGAGTCTCACTTGTTATCTGAGCAAGAAGCAGTTCCCGAAGGGTAGGGGAGTTGGTTGCACCAGGCAGACCAATTGTAATAAACATGCCACAACATCATGGGCATAGTTGGGGGGGGGGAAGTGCCCCTTCCCCAACCGCAGGCAGGCATGGAATTTCCCCCCCCCCTCATTGGCCCCAAAATCACACCTATGTACAACATTACGGGGTACCTTCCCGCCATCCTGGATGTGCTGGCAGAAAAGGATTCAGGCAGTGGAGGGCACTGTCATTCTGGGTCAGTATCAGCCAGAGGGCCCAGAGCACAGAAAAATGAAGTGACATGCTGAGGGCTGAGAGGATCTGGCTCACCAGGGAGCCTGGCTGCAGGGAAAGGTTGGGCAGGAGGCAGCCTAAGAGCTGGGGCTGGTAAGCGAAGGGACAGTGGGGCGCCAGCCTAGTTGCTGGATGCTGGCCAGTGGCCGCTGTAGCCGGATACAGCACAGCGAGTGACATGTGACAGCAGGAAGGCAGTGCAAATATGCCCCACTGAGATCATAGACAAAAGGCTTCAGGCTGGGGGCAGTCTGCAGGATAGGGTTCCTGGCCCCTGGGAGAGGGGTGGGTGGAATATCCCTGGCATGAGGAGCCCCATGGGATGCAGTGCCCCTGCCCTGAACTGGCCCCTAGGGGCTGAGTTAGGAATTGCTGGGTTGATCTTTTATTGTAATTGTTAAAGTCATTGTGGTGAGGGTATTTGCACCTTTAAGCAGCCCTGGAAAAAGAATGTGCTGTTATTCAAGGTGTATGAGTGCTACAGGGCCCCACCAAGGGCTGGAGCTTGGCCAGCCCAGCGCTTGGAGCACCTGCTCTGCCTGCCTTTGAGCACGTGGTATGCACAACAGGCTACCAGATGTGATTTCCAAAAATACATCACTTCCCAGTCAGGTGTCTAAATAAAGGCCAGATAGTCACAGATAGACTCTGGCACCCACTGTGGGCGCTGACCTCTTTTGAAAATTTCCATCCTGGAGGCGGCTCTGTAACCACAGCACTCTCAGTGACACGCAGCAATAGGGCTGGTTACCATACGGCCTTGGCTTAAGTGGCGCCGAGGGCTGGTGGTGAATTTCCCTCCTCTGCATGTGTCTCGTGGTAGCTGGGATGTGAAGTCTAGTCTAGTCATTGTCTCTCGTTCCATCCTCTAGGCCCCCTTCATGAATTCCAGCAAGAACGTGGATTTGAAGATAATTATCATAGGCGCACTGGGGTAAGCAGAATCCTTCCTACTGGAGTCCAACAGTCCTGAGGGTTTGTTCTCATGAAGGCTAAATGAGTCCCACTCCAAGCCCCCTTTAACACTGCTAGAATGATGTCGCTTGGCCTTAATGTAAGTGAGAAAGTGGGACTTTATCTTCAACAGCTAAGGTTCTCCAATTTACTTTTCATGTATTTATAATCATCTCTAAGCTGCTGTGCAACACAGGGGAAATTAACAGCATTAAAAATAATCCATTAAAACATTAAGCCCTTAAATGGAGAGGTTCAAACTCCAATCTTCCTGTACTTACAGTATGGCACCCACCCACAAACCAAACTAGTTCACAGATCAGTTTGAAGCCTGGCTACATACAGGTTTCACACATCTAAGATGCATCCAAGACCAAGGCTAATTTCAGAGCATACTAGCGTAGATGAAAATGGCAAGGCTGAGTGGTTGGAGTTTGGTTCCCATCATGGAGTCATTATCCCGTTAATAACAGGGTGTGGGAATCTGTGACTCTCCAGTCTTATTCTGTGCACCTGATTCTATAGTGCAACTCAGAAGTCCTGAGGCTAATGCATGTCCCTTTGTGTGCCTCTTCCTTTGTCCTAGGGTGGGGAAAACCTCCCTCCTGCACCAGTTTGTGCACAAGACATTCCATGAAGATTATCGGACTACTCTGGGAGCCAGTATCCTATCTAAGCACATCATGGTGGACAACACCCCCCTAAAACTGCAGGTGAGGCACTTCCCCGTTTGGTCTCTGGCATCTATCCACTCAGAAGAAGCCTGTCTTTTGACCCGGTGTGTGTGCACAGCGCCAGGCGACGTCCATTTAACAGAGGTCGGTGCACAAATAAGGGATCATTCAGGACCTGCTCCTGCTCCCTTTGAAATCAACGGTAACATTTTAACTGTTGCAGGCTTGTGCCTGATGTTCAGTGGTCCTGAGCACCCGTGGATTCTGCTGAAGTCAAGAGGAGCTGCAGGTGTGGAAACCAGGCCCTTGATAGCTAAATGGTGTGCAGAGCAGCAGATAGTCTAAGGTCACAGTCAGCAGGTCACCACCTCCAGAGCATGGGGGGATGGGGGGAAGGGCTCTGCAGCAGCCCTGCCTCAGTTTCCCCTTCTCAGGACTCCTCAGTAAACGCCACAGCCTGGTTTGGCCACTGCAGTGCCTCGGCCCTTCACAAAAGCCCACCCCTTCTGGGGAAACAGAACTTAAAAACAAACAGAACACAAAGTCTTTACCCTAATCTTAAACTGAGCCCAGCCTTTCTTTCCCAAGGGATTGGTCTTCTCCCCTCTCATTCTTCTGCCCACCCCTTTTCAGCCCTTCCCAGGCTCCTTTCCATCTCGTCCCCACGCTGCTCTTCCCCAGACAGGCACCCCCAGTCCTTCCTGCCTGGAATCTTCCCAGGCCTCTGCCTATCTTATGCTCTAGCTCCTTGCAGCCTTTCTGCAGCCATCTGCACTTCCCTTTTCTCCTCAGGCCTCTGAGGTAAATAAGGTAGAAGCCTGATTGAGTCACATGACCTGCTTCATTTCTCCCACCTGGGGAGGAGAGTTGGCTGTGTCACAGGTGGGGCTGAAGCCCATCCCCCTTTAAAGGGCCAGTCACCCCCTAACAGTCATTAATGTTGTGCGTTCCTGCCCTTCTGCCCCATTAGATCTGGGACACCGGGGGTCAGGAGCGGTTCCGGTCCATGGTGTCAACGTTCTATAAGGGCTCGGATGGCTGTATGCTGGCCTTCGACGTTACAGACCTGGAGTCCTTCGAGTCCTTGGATGATTGGAGAGAGGACTTCCTGGAGAAGATAATCCCCACAGAGCAGGGCTTCCCCATGGTGGTTCTGGGAAATAAAATCGACTTAAATGAACGGCAGGTAAGGAGGGAGCTTGGTCCCAGTTAAGGGCTCAGAAGAATCAGCCATGGAGGGTGGGAGGGGTAGGGCTAGATTTCTATGACTAAATTTCATAGTGTTCTGGTGGTGCCTCTGGGTCAGGGTTGGAGCACACTGGGGAAACTCGCCCTCCTTCTGCCTGTCCAGCTTCTGGGAATAACACAGGACTCCAGCCTCCTGTCAATCACACACCTTTCACCATCACCAAATTCAATTAAAAATGTATAACCCACCACAAGCCCCACTTGAAGCCTAAATTCCCAGAAGTGGCTAATGGGTGCCCAACTGTAGATGCCTTAAAGGAGTCTGATCTCCAAAAAGGGCTGAGCTCCCACCCTCTGAAAATCAGGCCCCTTCTGTGTGTTTCTGGTCAGGCTTCCCAAAATTAAGGCACCTGGAACAAGTGGTTCCCTTTAGAAGCTATAGGGTTTTCTTACTATAGCTGGAGTATTTAGTCTGGCACAGGCCGGGTTTACAATTCACCAACAAACCAGAAATTCCTGTCTGGAAGCGAGGGAAGGGAAATCATTATTAATAATTAATAAAACCCCTCAGCGGTAGCTCAACAGTTAGATTCCAGAAGATTCCCTCCCCAGAAGGCTGAAAGAAATCTCCTTCACTTAATCCCCCACCAAGCCCTCCTGTGACCTTGCTGAAGGAGGGACATGCTCCAGCCCAGGTTCTTTAAGAAGATCAGTGTCCTCCAAGAGCAATGAGCCAAATGTTCTGCTACCGAGCACTGTGTGCCTGACGGTACAATGCTCCGCGCCTGCCAGCACTTGGCCCTGTAGTCAAGATACCACGCTGAGTTGCCAGCATGCACTGAGAGCCTCATTCTGAAACCACGCTGGAGGCTCCCGTTGGCTTCAATGGGCATTGAGTGCGCTCCACACCATCCCAACATTTGCTCTCAGTGGCTGTAGAATGAAAAGCCCAAGGAGATGCCCAGGGGTCTCTGAGCATATGGCTACCATCAGGACCGGCGAATACCCCACGCACTGGACTTGGTCACCTCCTTAAGGGCTGCAAATGAATAACATGACCACATCCCCTTCTCTTCTCCCAGGTGTCCAAGGAGACAGCTTCATTCTGGTGCAAAGAAAAGGACATCCCGTATTTTGAAGTCAGTGCCAAGAACGACATCAACGTAGTGCAGGCCTTTGAGACGCTCGCAAGGCAGGCCCTGTCGAGGGTGAGTAGCGGTGCTGGCCATGTGCCCTTGTGAGCTTTAGAGCCCTGATGTGGGACTTGAGAGACCTGGGTTCTGTTCCTGGCTCTGCTGCTAATCTGCTGGGTGACCTTGAGCAAGTCATGTCCCTGCCCTGTGCCTCTGTTTCCCCACCTGTAAAATGAAGATAATGATACTGGTTTCCTTTGTAAAGTGCTTTGAGATTCACTGATGAAAAGTACCATTTAGGAGCTAGAATGATTATTATTATTTTCATCATTTGGGCCAGAAGTCTCATGGAAACAGCTGGTGAGAATCTGGTGCCATTTAAGCTAAAACCCAAACCTTGGCCTGAATTTGCCCTTGGATTTGAATCCTAAACTTCACCTTATACCTAAGTGAGGATTCAGACTGGACGTTGATCAGTTCTCATGATTGTTTTTTATCTTTTCCAATAATTTTAGTCAAAAATGCAAATTTATCATTCATCATTTATTTCTGAAATATTTTCTGGACTTAATTTTAATTATTTTCAGCACTTAATTTTAATTTTAAATAATGTTTTAAAAATCCATCTTACAACCACGCGGATGAAAAAATTCAGTGTTGAATATTTCTCATGTAAAAAAATATTGGGCAATAAACAAGGAGATAAATGTTTTCATAAATAACATTGATAAAAATAATTCTAAAAGCTAATGAAACAAGAAATATTTTGCTGTTTTGAAAATTCTTTGCCAAAGTATTGTTTTAATTTTTCGACCAATCATAAGGGATTCCAGAAAGTGTAGCCAGTATATCTATGTAAACTGTGCCCTCTACTGGTCATCTCAATGAAATCAATAGGGTAGGGAAAGCATTGGGCTTGAAGGCCAGTCATTTAGAAGCCGTCCTCCATTTTAAGACAGCAATTTTGCATCTGCAAGTATTTGCTGGTACAACTGAGGTCAGTTACATGTTTAACCAGAGTACCCAGATGGTGCCCAGAAATCAAACAGCTCGACATGAAAATGGCACACATTGTGCCTGAATTTATTTAAATCTACAAAACTGCAGGCAACAAATGTGATGGGCCCTTTCAAAATATGGCCCTTTTCCTAGGTCGGAATTAGTATTTAAATAAGGGGAGGAGTAATGATTAAAGTAAATGGTCTGCTCAGAAGAGAGGACTGGTATCAAACTAAACTCTACAGTCTTAAAATGGAGTTAACTTAAACCTGCAACATTTGCAGTGAAATGTTGCTAAGTCATCTCCATTGGAAAGGTGTGGTGTCTATTGCCTGTGGATGTATGTACAATACTACGATAGGTAGAGCATATTAGTCTCCCTAACCACAAGGGTCACTGTCCCATCTGTGCAGAAGGTTCAGTAGAGTGATGTAAATGAGAGTGTTTTCATTCCACATGGGGTCGTGCAAACGTTTTTGTGATTTTGGTCCCATATTCTTAGTGAACCAATATTGTAACTCAGACTGAATCTCAGATGAAGCTGCCAGGCTTTCTGCAATTCTGTTCTGTTCAGAATCCTATACCTTGCCCATCACTGTGGTGCCTGAAAGCATTAAGCAGCCTGACTAGCATCTGTTGCGTGTGGTTCTTTCTTTTTGCCTAATTTTCATCCCAAATCATGAATCAGTCTGAGATCACTCAAATTTAGCTCAAAACTCAGTCCCAGGTTCCTGGAGATTTATCCCCAGCTCTTCAAAAAGTTTGTGAACCTCAGGGAAACTCAGGTTGGTAAGAAACCTGAAATCGGGTGATTTCCCTCGGGGAAGTTTAGGATTCAGGGATTGTATAAAGCAAGTCCTTTTTTAAAAGCAAACCCAAGCCACTTTTATTTCCTCTTGTCTTTTTTCCAGTACCAAGAGATGCTCGAGAACTATTTAACAGACTCCATCAAGCTCACTCCTGACGACCAGCCCAAGAAGAAATGCTGCTGAATGAGACATTTGGAGACACCTGACATCATGTCTCTGAGTCCTCGCTTGGCACCGAAATCGCTGAACCGACTCCATTCACTTCCGGTTTTGTGTTCAGCCACAGATGACCACAGTGATCCGGTTCCACATTGAACAGCCAAGCTGACAAATCTCGTGACATTTACCGAGTGCAGAGAAGAGACCGGCCTTTCTCTCTACATCCTAGATCGGACTAACCCAGCCAGACCGCACCTGGCTGCTCCTATGCATTGGGACCCTTACTGCTTCATTAACCTTCTAACCACCCATTTCAAAGCCTTGCACCAGCCTTCTAAACCTGGCTCTGTGCAGTCAGTGCTGAGTCCAGGTGGCCCAGCTACCTTCCCAGGGCTGTGGCTGGCTCAGTGACCTCACTCACCTGCTATCTCTCTGCTCTAGTTACACCTGTTGACACTCAGGCAGGTCACAGTGGATTAGTGGCTCACCCTCTGGCACTTGACCAGGCATTCCCAACACACACCTGAATTGACAGTGCTAGGCAAGGCAGGGCTGTGCTGTCACTGCCTTGCAGGCTGGGCCTCCCTAGAGAATGTAATCTCAGTCCCCGCTGTTTGAACGCAAAACAGAGACATTTGTTCGCCAGATACCCAGTGTTTAAACTAACACCCTCACAGTCTGCACTTGATATTAAACAGGCGTAAGCTACTTATCCCCAAGGGAGGGAAGGGTGGATGGTCTAGTGGTCAAAGCACAGGCCTGAGAGCCAGGAGCGTCTACATTCGAATCCCAGCACTGACACACATTGCCCTAGGCATAACCTTTCTGTGCCTTAGTTTCTCCCCACCTGTAAAATGGTAGGGGGGCGTGATAACTCTCTCTCACCCAACGATGAGGTTGTTTGTAAAGCACTTTGACAATGAGCTGGGCTGTGTTGTTTTATTGGCAGGGTGTTTTTTAAAGGAATACTTTTAAAGGGAGGCAGTGGGGCCTACTGGCTAGAGCACTAGACTGGGTCACAGGAGACCTGGGTCCTATTTCCAGCTCGTCTGCTGGGTGACCCTTTGGTAAGTCACTTCACCTCCCCGTGCCGCAGTAGCCCCATCTGTAAAATGGGGATAATGATGAAACGTGCTAGATAAGAGCTAGGCATGATTACTATTTTATTAATCACTGAAAAAGGGGAGGCATGGATCAGATTTTGACACAAGCAAGGGGATTGAGCAGAACTCGAAAAGGGAAAGTGACGGAAAGCGAAATTTTGGGATCTGTGCAGATCTGTGACTGTCCTGAAGGGTCTCCCTGCTCAAGTGCCTGGATTTCTATCTCCACCTGGGAATGATGCCCAATTTTCTGCTTTTATTGCCCTGTGGGGTTCGGATTAATCTTTGGGTGTTAAAGACACAAGGGCTGGACTAAGCCCGTAATGTGAAACTGACACATGAATTTAGGATTTTCAGTGATCCCAGGACAGGAGTAGTGGGAGGGAAAGCAGCCCATTCCTACCTCTCGAAGGTGGTTCGTGGCACTTTTAGTTGGTGGCTGTGAGCAGCAGGAGCAGCTGCCACGTGGAACTTGGCCAACGCTTGCGGAATTGGTGAAACCTGGGTTAACACAGCAGAGAGGCTCACCGGAAGCCAAGCCGCAGGCTGGGGCCAGAGGGCACAGCGGTGTATCAATGCTGTTTCCATGCAGTTTGGCTTTGACTGTGGAAATCTCATCCAGCCATGAAGCCCAGAGGAGCGGTGGACCCCTTCCTGTACACCCTGCCGTGGTCTATGATCTCTTCGCATACACCCGGATATGGGCGGAGCCATGGGCCAGGATCCCGTCGCGTACATCCTGGCATGGGCCGCGATCCCTTTGCAAACACCCTGACATGGGTCGCGCTGCTGAAGGTCTTTGGCCCAGTGTGCGCAAAGCTACTTTAGAGAAATGTTTCTGGGTTCAGAGATGACCACAAAACCCCTGTTAATTTAAAATCATTCCCAGCAAAAGTAAAAAGTTTACTCTGAAATGCTGGGCGTGTGCATCTTTTTTGTGTGTGGCTCTAAATGAGAGGATGTCCTGGGTCGGTTCCCTGGGAGAAACAAATTTCACAGCGGTCCTGTGCAGGGGAATAAGGCAAGCTGGACTGGGACTTCCTTGGAGCGTTTAGTCCAGCTCTGAAGTGTCAGTGTTGGTGGAGAAGTAGATCCTACTGGAGGGGTGGGGAATCCCCTTCTTCCACCCCCAGGAGCTGCAAGGATCCGTTTCTGAAGCCCCTCAATCTTTGCTGCAGAACTTCTTTTGGTTTCACATTTCAAACGTGTCTAGCTCCTGCCTCTCTCTCTGAGCCGGGAGTCACATAAGCCATAGGACTGGAAGAACCTCCTGGGTCCTGGAGTCCAGTCTCGGGCTATCTCAGGCCACCGTGACGCACAATCCTATTGTTGTTATTATTTGTATTCCAGCAGCCCCTAGAGACCAGGTCCCAGAAGGCGCTGCGCCAGGCGCTGTACAAACATCTAACAGAGTCCCTGCACCGGAAAGCTTATGATCTAAATGAGTTCCGAGCCCTTTCTGCAGATCACAAAGACATTCCTGAGAAATTCCAGGATTTTTCTCTGGGACCATCGCTATTTTCCCAGCAGAAATTTCTTTGACCAAACACCAGTTTTGCAAAGCATAGACAACAACAAATGGGGATGGAAGGAGTGTGGAATGGACGTAAGGGTCTAACTGATCACCATATTTGGGGTCAGGAAGGAATTTTCCCTCAGGTCAGATTGTCAGCCAGAGATCCAGGGTCGTCCCCCCGCTCCTCCCCCTCCCGGTCATCTGCAGCCTGAGGCATGGGTCACTTGCTAGTTTGAACTAGAGTAAATGGTGGAATCTCTATAGCTTGAAATCTTAAAATGTATGAAAGATCTGTATATGGGCCTGTCATTCTGCCTTTGGGCACAAGAGGTCGTCAGTACAGTGTGAAGAAAACTTCTATTGTATAGCCTCCATACCAGCTTCGTAGAATCACAGAAATGTAGGACTGGAAGGGACCTCGACAGGTCATCTAACATTGTCCTGCACTGAGCAGGGCTAAGTATTCCCTAGACCAGGGATCCGCAACCTTTCAGAAGTGGCGCGCCGAGTCTTCATTTATTCATTCTGATTTAAGGTTTCGGGTGCCAGTAATACATGCTAACATTTTTAGAAGGTCTCTTTCTATGTCTTACATATATAACTAAACTATTGTTGTATGTAAAGTAAATAAGGTTTTAAAACTGTTTAAGAAGCTTCATTTACAATTAAATTAAAATGCAGAGGCCCTCGGACCGGTGGCCAGGACCCAGGCAGTGTGAGTGCCACTGAAAATCAGCTCACGTGCTGCCTTTGGCACGCATGCCATAGGTTGCCTACCCCTGCCCTAGACTGTCCCAGACATGTGTTTGTGCAACCTGTTGTTAAAAACTTCTAATGCAGAGGTGGCCAACCTGAGTCTGAGAAAGAGCCAGAATTTATCAATGTACATTGCCAAAGAGCCACAGTAATACGTCAGCAGCCCCCCATCAGCTCCCCCACCCACTGGCAGCCCTGCCGATCAGCACCTCCCCCTCCCTGCCCACACCTCCCAATCAGCTGTTTCGTGGCATGCAGGAGGCTCTGGGGGGAGGGGGAGGACCGAGGGCATGGCAGGCTCAGGGGAGGGGCGGGAAGGGGTGGAGTGGGGGCAGGGCCTGTGGCAGAGCCAGGCGTTGAGCAGTGAGCACCTCCTGGCACATTGGAAAGTTGGCGCCTGTAGCTCCAGCCCCGGAGTCGGTGCCTATACAAGAAGCCGCATATTAACTTCTGAAGAGCTGCACGTGGCTCCGGAGCCATAGGTTGGCCACCCCTGTTCTAATGATAGAGATTCCACAACTTCCCAGGACCTTCATACCTTATACTTTTTCATAAACGTCCTTAATTGCAAATTCATTCCTACCCAATACATACTCTTTTTGGCTCACCTTAAGCAACCTTCAATTCCCAGAATTGTGACAAAGGAACTCTGCATAATCTCATTCCTAAAACCTGCCTGAATAACTGCTCTTTCTCCCTGAAATATAATGCCATTCTGTACACACAAACTGTCTCTTTTCTGAAAGAATGGTGTTATCTTGTTAGGTAATTGGTATTTTGTCACTGGCCATCATTGTAGAATTATGCATTTCAATGTCTACGGCATTCTGTCTTGCTCTGTACCTCTCTGTATTTCTCTCAGCCTTTCTTCTGAGATAGGTAAGTCCTGTACCATATTTATTGTCTCCACCTCTGGCCCTTCCTTGTTGGGTTCTGGCAGGTATCCACGGCTTAAGATGTCCACCAACACCTAATCGTTCCCTGGGCAATACTTGATCTATACGGTGTACCTCTGCAGTCAGATCATCATCTGCTGTAAGTGCTTTGGTGCACTGAGTAATGGCTTTCTCCAAATGCCTTTGAGAGGTTTAGGGTTAGATTGTATGTCCATGATGAGACCATAGCTGGATTGGTGAATTTTTTCCATTCCAAAGAGTATTGCTAATACCTCTTTTTCAATTTGAACATGGCCCTTCTCTGTCACGAACAATGCTTTGCTTGCAAATGAAACAGGTAATCCCCCTTGCAACATGGTAGCCCCCAGGCCCTAATCAGCTATATCGCATTGCAGTCTTAGAAGCGCCTCTGTGTTGCAATATTTCAAAATAGGAGCCTTACCAGTCATCTCTTTTACTTTCCTGAATGTTTGCTCATGTTGGTCCTTCCACGCCTATAAGATGTCTTGATGTATCAGCTGTCTCAAGATCTCTCATTTCTCAGACAGATTGTTGCAAAACTGTGCTAAATAATTGATCGTTCCCATGAATATCTGGACTCCTTTAACATCACTGGGTCTTGACGTTTCTCTGTCCTCACTTTCTCTGGATCTACTTTCAGTCCTTTGGAGATCAACATATATCCACCGTATGGCACCTTGGTTACTTTCAACCTGAGCTTGTCTAAGTTCAATTTAATATTCTTCTTTCTGCATCTCTGAAAAAACTGTAGTAATTTGTAGTCACAATCTTGTTGTGCTTGTTCTGTTTTATCACTCTCTCACACTATCAGCACATCATCTGCTATTGTCCGCATTCCCGTCAGGCCCTTCAACGCTTGGTCAATCTGCTCTGGAATAGCTCTGATTCCAGACTGATTCCCACTGCATCCTTACTCATCAATATCTCCCAAGTGGAGTCGTGATGGCTGTCAAGTAACTGGAATCTTCATCCAATCCGACAAGCCAGAATTAATTTTTTCCATTGAACACTGTCATGACTCTTGCTTTAGACAGATCTGGTAATATGTCCTCAATTGTAGGCAGAGGGAAATGGTTCCATTTCAAAGCTTTCTCTAAAGCAGAGGGGGGCAAACTACCGCCCGCAGGCCACATCCAGCCCGCAGGACCTTCCCTCTGGTCCCCAAGCTCCTGCCAGGGAATGGGGTCAGGACAGGCTTGCGGAGGAACCAGCCCAACTCCCCGGCAGCACGGTGAGTGGGGCAGAGGCTAGCCCCTGCCCCCCCCCCACCCGCCTCCCTCGCTGTCACAGTGCCTGGGCTGCAACTCCGGCCAGGCAGCATGCTATAGTGCCACCAGACCTGGTGCTCCAGGGCGGTGCGGTCAGGGGGTGGGGATCTGGGGGAGTTCCGGGGGGATTGCAGGGGGGCGGTCAAGGGGCTTGGGCCATGCTGCTGGGGACAGGGGAAGAGCAAGCCAGGGCCCCCCTCCACCCCCAGCATGCTTGGCCCCTGTCCCCAGAAGCCGAGCCCAGACAGGGAGCGAGCCCTGCCCGACTGCCAGGGAAAGCAGCCAAACGAGCAGGGGAAACGCACAGGGAAAGTACTGAGCCCCTCTTTCCCCCACCCCATAGATAGCATGGGGCAGGGAAAGCAGGGAGGGTTGGATAGGGGGCGGGGGCCCCAGGGGGCGGTCAGAGGGTGGGGAGCAGGGGAGATTGGATGGGGCAGGGGTCCCCGGGGGATCGTCATGGGGAAGAGAGCAGAGGTGTTTGGATAGGATGCGGGAGTCGCGGGGGGCAGTCAGGGGTGGGGAGCGGGGGGGGGGTTGGATGGGGGTGGAGGTTCTGGGGGGCTAGATGGGGGCAGGGGCCAGGCCACGCCTCGCTGTTTGGGGAGGCATAGCCTCCCCCAGCCTTTCCTACCCGGCCCTCCATACAATTTCTGTACCCGATGTGACCCTAGGGCCAAAAAGTTTGTCCACCCCTGCTCTAAAGGCTTTGAATCTATGCATAGTCTCTCAGTTTTCCGGACAGCTTTTTTACCACCACAAGACAGTTCATTCAGTCTGTGCTCTTCTCTACAGGTTGTATAATTCCATGATTCTGCAGTTCACTTTTCAGTGGCTGTAGTCACAGGCGCCGGCTTCCTCTGGGCCCCAGGGGTTCTCAACCCCCCGCTCTGCCCCAGGCTCCACCCCCACAGCGCTTCTTCCTGCCCCCACTCCATCCCACCCTGCCTCTTCCCGCCCAGTTCTGCCCCCTCCCCCAAAAGCACCTTGGCGGGCAGGAGGTGCTGGGCGAGAGAGGGGGAACTGGTGGCTGGTGAGTGCTAAGCAGCCACTAATTTTTTTCTGTGGGTGCTCCAGCCCTAGGGTCTCCTTGCTCTGGGTTTACCATCTGTTTGGTCACTTGCATAAAGTCCTTCTACCCACTGTTGCTCTCTTCAGTTACTGTGTGTACCTTGGATTTGTTTTTCTTCTCTCTGGACAAACACTTGGCTGCAAAATGATTAAATTTGTCACAGATCTGGCCTTTCCCCCCCATATTCCAGATGCTTTTCTTTCTGACTTACATGTTTTCTCCCACAGTATTTGCATGTGTCTATACCATTGTCATCTACTGATGTATCTGGTTTTGATTTCTCTTTCTTACAGTCTGCTGACTGCCCTGCCAGGGTTCTGATCCTCTCTTTGGATAGCTCAGACGCCCTGACTATCACCAAGCTTTTCCCCAAAGTTAAGTCAAC